CCCATGTATAATTGTACCCCTCTCGTTCCTCTTGGGGGCCATGGCACACGTCCGTCGCAGAGGCGTCGGCGCGACTTCTACGACCTAGACACGTCGCACTGGAAGCTCACGGGGGCGGCGAGGCCAGCGGACTCGCTCCCGGGGGCCGGGGGCACGGAGCTCGTGAACGAGCGGGAGGACTGGGAGGCCGGCGAGGACCTGTTCCAGAAGCTGGCGGGCGTCAGCAGCAGCGAAGGCTTCGGCGGCGGAAACGACAGCGACGACGACAGCAGCGATAGCGGTGACGACGATGGTGGCGGTGAAGAGGGCAGAGTCAGGAAGAAAAGGGAGACTGGTGGAGGCGGCTTCTATGAAGGGCCGGAGGCCTGCAGAGAGTACCTCGGTGAGGGAGAATGGGAGACAAGATAGACAGACAGAAGACGAGTAATTTTGGTGTGGCCTGCCTTGGTGTCTGCCTTCTTACATGTGTTTTGTGTTGTTCATGTTAAAGACGTGTGCGTGTTTGTCCCATCTTTTCTCGCGCCAGTCTACAGGCCTTTCGGTGTTGGTATGTATTTGACGTGTCACCGGGGTCACACAAGAGGAAGATCCCACAGGAACAATTTTCACTTTACATGCAACAAGTGTTTCGATGTGGATCAGCAGCGTCTCAACGCGTTGTTTTTCGCGTCGACGTTCTCGTTCGAAATGTCTGTGGCTTCTTGTACGCCTGTCGCTAATTTTGCTCAGACCTGAACCACCAGCTTGCCCAAAGGCTGCACGACGGCGGCAAGGAATCCCAGATGGAAGAGGCCCTCAAGCGGTACCAGAGGTATGAACATGGTATACCCGTACGACGGCGCTTTTCGAAGAACACCAAAAGAAAGGGGTGGGCGGGGGAGAGCTCGTCTCATTTGTTGAAGCGTCCTTTTTTTTCTTTACCTGAGGGCATGCGGCTTGTTACTGGTTATGTACACAGGCACCCGCCAATCGGTGCTTATTCGTGTACGAAACCCTGCATCTCCGCTGCACCGCGTTGGTACCTTTGCCGTGGTAGGTCGCTGGAGCTCGACCCGGTGGACCACGTGAATGCGAGAAGAGGTCTGGTCCGTCTTCTGCTGGACGGGGGCAACGCGGACAAGGCCCGAGCGGTCATCGATAGGTGAGCGTCGTCGTTGTTGTGTTGTTGCTGCTGCTGTCATTGTTTTCGTCTCTCTACTGAAGTACTCTATAGGTCCGGGGAGCTGGCTCGATAAAGAGCGAGAGAGAGAGGGGGGGGGGGAGGGAAGAGAGAGGAGAGAGGCCCGATCTGCACTACACTACACCTGCACTTGCGAAAGCAATCTTGACCGAGTACACCAACCGAATCCACAAACGAAAGCGAAAATCCGTTCAGGTTTCCCGATGATCGCGGGTGCGAAATGGCCTGGTCGCTGGCGGCGATCGAGTTTGTGGCGTGGTCGGTGCTGCAGGAGGACGGCTCCGGGGAAGAGGTTGCTGGCAAGGCTCTCCGGGAGGCATGCGGGGCGAACCCGTTCGTGGCGTGGAACATCGCCCACCGAGAAGTGTTCGACGAGGTGTGTCTGTTGTGTAGATGTGAGATGGGAGGGCACCCCGAATCATGAAGGGAGAGGGAGAGGGAAAGGAAGGAGAGTTTTTTGCTGCTTGTTTCCGTGCCTATTGCGTTTACTTTGTTGTCTGCCAGCCCGTGTAGGCGTGGCGTAATTCCCGTGTCTGCTCTGCTACATGCAACTTCTTCGGTGGCCATCTTCGCTTCAATTCGTTTTCTCGTTTCGCTTCGTTCATAAGCGCTCTCCTTTCTCCCGTTTACTTTGTTCTGTCATTCGTGTATTATTCTTGTTAGTGTTTGCGGGGCCGATGCAGCATCGTTCGTGTCTTGACGGACAACGAGAGGTGTTCAATGCAAGGTGCATTGCCTGTGGATGGCCATCTGGCGCGATGACTGGTGGTGTGCGTGATATCTTGCACACCATCGTTTCACGAAGCCAGAGCGCTTTGCGCGCGCGGAGTGACTTCCCGCGTTGCTTTCTGCACTTCCTTTACGTCGGAGTCCCCCCCCCCCCCCCCCCCCCCC